ACACACACACACACTCACTCACACACTCACACTCACACTCACACTCGCACTCGCACGCACGCACTCACTCACTCAACCCGAGAAACACCGTGATGGACCCAACGACTTACCGATGTTGCTCGTTCTCCTAGGCCTGGCGACTCAGTTCGCTTTGGACGTAGTGCCAGGGGCAACGAGGTGTGCGCTTTGGGAGCATATGACATGAACTTGCAATTTTTTTTGTCATGTGAAAAGGGTCCTCCCTGGTTTCATTTTGGTGGGATTTTGAAGATCATGCATGTGCAAAATCACTCGGTCTATTCAGAACCATTTTGCATTTGTGCTGAGCAGGGAGCACCTGGCCAGGTGGTTCTGGACTATGAGGGTGTGTCGAAGCACCACGCCAGGGAAACCCAGGCGGTTCTCGTTGGCTGCAAAGCGCACGGACAGACGCTGAAAGCACCTGGGATGTTAGGCCTGCCCTCAGCAGGTTGCTGGAACCTCCAATGTTCAGCTCTCAGAGTTACTTGGAACCTTGGCCAAAGTTTTTTCCTTTGAACATGTTTAAATCGGAGATCTACATTTGAGGCTTGGATTCCTTCCATTGATGATAGATGTACAGGTGGATCATGCATGGTCATGCCACACATGGTGATTTGAAGCCACCAAGGCCAACTGGCGACTGGTATACCTCCCAAATAGAGAAAGGTGGTATGACGAACAGGTGGTGAAACAAGATCTTCATATATCTTCCACTATTTCGGCTGCAGCGGTGGACATGTCCAACGCAAACGCTGTGGTCCCCCGCGCCTCTGTGGTCCCCCGCGGTGTCTGTCGCCACTTCAATCTCTTCGGTCTCAGCAACGGTGTCGAACACCGCAATCGAGGCGAGCTGTGAAGCACGGAGGATCGCTGGTCGAGCAAACAGTTCGTGGATCAGCTGGATCAGGGGATTTTCTTGGGTCTTTCCTTAAGGGGTGTAATTCGTTTTTCATGTGTTCTTTCCCAGGCGGAGATCACCTTACGGGAGAAGCTGCCGGAGGAGGCTCAAAACAGCCGATGCGCGCCATGCGCCTCAATCATCGGCACGATGCGCGCCACTGCGTCAATGGTCGAAAGGTGGTACCAACACCATGGAGTCAATTGGCAATTGGCTTATGTGACTAACTATGTGAATATCTATCTATAGATATTGTTCCTTCCAATCACCGAAATCCATCCCTGAAATCCTCGGTGCTGGTCAAAGTTTGTTCGGAACATTGGTTCGGGTGAGGAGCAGCATCATGTTCTGAGATCTGAATCGAAGACTATCGAAGCTCTGAACATCGCCAGGTGATCCTGGGCTCCGATGTGAAGTTGGGTGGCTTAGGAAGTGACAGGCTGGCAGGCCGGATCGACTCCAGGCTTGGTCTATTGGACTGGTTTTGACCAGGTCTTTGTGGTCCTTCCTTGCACGACCGATTTTCAATGACTTCCCCACTTGAGCTCCAATGCTGTGAGACACAAAAGGTGAGCTCCAATAGCAACAGTTGGGTTTGTGTCCTACACCCAACTTTCCATAGTAAACCAACGTTGAAGCTTGTTTTACTATATATATATGTTTTCTCATGTTTTATCCAAGTCCAAGGTCCAATCTTGCAGAAGATGTTGGGGTGCTGTGTGAGCACCGAGAATGGACACACATGTGTTCTTTTGCACATATGGAGAATGCAAAGGACCTCCTGATGAAACATATATAGATACACATCAACACTCATTAATTATTGATTTTGTATATAGCTGGGCCGGGCGAGGTTTCCAAGGAGACTTCGAACAGTGAAGAGATCCAACTGCCCGAACCGCTTGGTGTAGAAAAACGCATCGCGCTTAGCAGTTGGCTCAAACAGTTTCTTCCCAACACCGAACTGGATGGTGGCCGTTTTCCCCGTTCCGTGCCGCTTCGCTCCTAAACCGAGGCTGCCGACCATGCTCTCCATCCGTCGGCTACCCAGGGGACGGGAGCAGGAGGGCGGAGGTTTTTGGTGAAGGCCAGCACCACCCACAGTTTCTTTTGATAGATTTTGCTGAAGATTCAATCCAATAATCAACCTTTGGGTGGTGCTGAGGTGAAGGTGTAGCATTTTTTGGAGGATCAAAGTGAAAAAGCGTCCACTGATACTGATCCAAGTGGGCACAGTAGTGTTGGGGCTGTTTGTTTCGCATGCAACGGCAGATTCCGAAGTCCCAGCGACTGAGGTGACTTGAACTCAAAGAACGGCATCGGCATCCGCAAGACTCCCTTCGAGCAGGTGGGGGGTCACTGTTCGCGGCTCTGTTTAAGTTTGAACTTCTGGGGTTTAGAAGTTCATTTCAGGGGCGGCACATGTCTTGGAGACAGATATTTCAGCTTGTAATGTCGGGCTCCAACCCAACCCCTCCATGTGAAGCGCCTTTGCGACGAGAGTGTCCCCAGGAGAGTGTCCCCACCATCGGCTCCTTCGAACGCATGCAAGCGGCGACGTCACAGGCTCGGGTTCCCGGCTTCCCAGGGGCGAGCGAGCGCGACTCGGTCCATTTTTTTGGGGGAGCAAGCCGTCCTTGGTCTTCCAAGACGGCTGAGCAGGTGAAACACTCCGTGTTTCGAAGGCTCTTGTGGAAGGATTTACCTTCCGTCCACCCAACATGTCATGTTTTCAAACAGTCCAAGACCACCCGTGGTTGTCTCTTTTTCAGTGAGGGAAGTAGGATGAAGCATAGCTTGGAATCACAAACAGCCAGCAACAAAAAGATGTTCCAATGTGGCCATTGAGGTCCTTTATATTGACATAGCACGTGGTTGTTTCTGGTGCAGACTGGGTTTCCAGGAGGATTGCATGGGTGTGTAATACTTCTCCCCTTTGCATGCCAGATTTGCGAGTCCGACAGAGAACATGACGCTTCCAGGAGGCCTTGCAGTTTGGCACCTGGCGGTGCCAGTGTGCCATGTACACACTCAAACAGCTGACACGGTCGTTTTGCGACCCCAAAGTTGGATAGTCCGACAGGTTTCCATTTGTGGAACAGCAAAACATGGGATTTCTACTGGAAGATGAGCAGTTCTCCTCTTCAACACGTGATTGACCACCAGTGACCCTCCTCGATACTGCCTTCCTGCCCCCCCACGCTGGGACCGAGACGTCCTCGCGGCGCCCAAGACGTCTGCCCCACTTGCTCGCTCGTGGCCAGGTCGTCGAAGATGGCGCCCACTTGCTCGCTTGGAAGCGCTTGGAGCGCCAGGAATAGGAAGCGATGCTGTGCATGGTCTGTTTAAAAAAGGAGTTCTACTTGCACAGTTGGCATGCGCATCACGCGTGTTTTGGTGGACTGTTGGTGAGTTTTGAAGGTGCCTTTTTTTACAGCATGAAGAGGATGCAATGGTTAGCATTATATAATGACCAACACTCAGGTGTTTTATCGTTCAATCTTGGGAGAATCATAGACCTTCTGGGAGCGTGGCAGGTTTCTGCATTATGATCCCTGCCAAAAGTCGTCACGGAGACAAACAGCACCCTAGCCGCGCCGAGGTGTTCGCCGGGTCGCGCGGGCATCGTTGCCCGCGGGGCGGGGCGTCTTCGAACACATGGATGGTGTACTGAGAGGATCCAACAGGTGACCTTTACTTCGGGCAGACAGGCACGCAGTTGATCCCTATAAGTTTTTGTGGACAAATATGAGTAGAAATGGGCTGAGATGATCTAAGATGCATAGATCTTTACACATGAATGGAAGGGAAGGAGGCGATTTCCGTCAGGGACTCCCAAGAATCTATTGCAAAGTATCGCGGGTGATCAACACTGAGGGTGGACATGAACTAACTATACTTGATCATCAAAAGCACACATCCTTCCTGCCTTTTGCATCCTTTTTGCCCCCTCTTCCACGCCGCAGTTCTTGTAGACGCAACCAAGCATTGTACTACCTAAGCCTGGAAATTGAATCTCTGACTTATGGTTGGTGGTTGAGTAGCGAAATCCACTCCAGTCACGGATCAGAGTTGCTCAGTCTGCAACTCAGGCAGTTCAGCCATGTTTAGCCAATTTTCGTCTTTGGCCGTTGACATACACATGGTATCACATGGTCATCTCAAAATAGCGGACTTGGGGCTTGAAAACATTTACTGTAGTCTCTCGATTGATTAATGAGTATTAATGGTCTCCTGCCCAATGGGTTGCCCTGTTTAAGTTTTTTGCATCTCCTTTTGCATTCACCAGAGAGAGAGAGAGAGAGAGGGGCCGGCCAGATGGAACCAACACAGTGAAGGCTCGTCTTTTTCGGGTCGCCGAAAAGCCCCCCCCAGAATTGGACCCGGACCGTGCCCTACCAAGTACCAAGGATGTCCGTGGAGCAGCGCATCATCACCTTCTATGTGAGTACCGTAATGATTGACGTGGGGATGCCTGGGTTGCTGTCAAGCGGTGGGGACGGAACAAGAGCCAGTGGACAAGGAACCAAAGGGTGGAAAGGTTCCAATCCCCAAAGCAAGCGCATTTGTGGAATACTTGGACCTTCCAATGGGTGTCCAATGGAGATTCCTAAGTAGTATGGGGTAGTCCAGCCAGGACACCCATTGGATGGTCCTGGTATCCCAACAGTAGAGCGCTGCCGGTATCCCAACCGTCGCCGGTTTTCCGGGTGGGTTGATGTGGTGACGGGTGGTGTTGATGTGCAGCGTCAGCCCGCAGCGATGTTGGGTGAAGGCGAGAAGGATTGACGAAGCTCTGCAGCAATGAGGCTCTGCGAGCCGTCCAGAGAACCTTCGTCGTCTCGTTTTTGTTTGATCGAACCATATTGAAAGAATGCATGATGAGCAGCACCAGCGGCTAGGAAGAGGAAGCAGGTTGTTTTCCCAGAAATGACTTCATGGCAGGGTATGCTTATGATTCCTTATATGTTTCGGGGTTTCTCTTTCCTAATCATGGGCCTCTGTGGAGGCTCCCAGGTCCTCAGACGAGCCCGCTTCGGATTTTGGGCTCGAACAGCCACCAGCGGACGACCGCTTGGGTGACAAGGCGTGGTTTGGCGTGGTTCGCTGTGTGGCTTGGGAGACACTGGCGGGGACGACTGCGGCATATGTACAAATATATTGCTTGCATTTATGTGACCCGGATATTGCATAAATTTGCACATAAATGTGCAAGTAGTTTTGCACATGCTTGGCCTTTTTGTGAGCAACTGCAGGTGGTTGAAGGCCTTGAAGGAGCACTGGATCATGGCCCCTAGTCCTTAGTCTCTCAAACCTGGCCTCAAGACGTCCCAAGAGCGGACAATCCACATGCAGTAGTTGTCTTAACAGACAGTTGTCCCCTGGCTCGCGTTGGCCCCTTGTTCACTGGGTGTTTTCAGAGAGGTCCAGGTCCAGGACAGCTTGAAGACAGCAGCCGAACTTGGTCAGTTGGCTGTGTGTACGAAGAGGGAGGACCTCGAGGTAGATCCCTGGGAAGAGTGAGAATTATGTAGGCTCTTGATTCATAAACCCCAAAACAATCCAAAACAAGAATAATAGGAAAAGGTTTTTTCAATCCAATTGGGGTGGGTGAAATATCATCTTCCTGAGTCTATACATGAGACTGCTGGTGACTCATCGGAGGCCATGGGCCTGGTGCACGGCCATGGCCACATCGGTCATGGTGCTCCGCGCGTGGGCCGCGTGGAGCACTATGGGGACCACGGAGCCCTGCCTGGTGGAGATGGGGTGGGCGATGGAGGCGCTAGCGCCCGAAGCGCGGAAAGGATCAAAGAAGGACCGAAGATTCATTCGGGGGGTGGATTTTTACATCGGATCGCATGTGAGGTTGCAACCGGTGCGACAGTTCCAAGGGTTGAGAGTGTGATGGTGAGACTTGGAGTAGCATGGGCACCATGTTGAGGATGTGAGGCCATGTTGTCACACCTTGGAAGTGTGACTACAGCCTTTTCAAGGTATGCAGAGTGTTTGTGGGTTTCTTGACCTGGACGAAGGCTCTTGTGTGCCCTGCTGTGCTTTGGCCATCTCAAAAGCAGCCAAAGCAACTGCTCTTTGCAAGACGAAGTCCCACAACATGTGCGTTCATTATCGTTCATTTTTATGTTTTTCTTCAGACGGCGTTCATGATGCGAAAGCCCGTCCTTGTTGCGCATCCACGAAAAGACCTCGAGCTCCTTCTCTCGTAGAGTCCTTCGAGTTTCCGGACGCCAAGTCGCTGGAAACCGTCAGCTAGCAGCTAAACTTTAGCAGCTAAACATGAAGAGAAGAGTCTGGAAGAAACTGGAACGGTAAATATGCATGTTCAGTCATCACATGTCTATTTATTTGCAATATTTTTCAACGCGTTTATAGTAGTAACTAGTAACAAGGGCATTACTACTAGGAGCAAATAGCTACTGGTAGCGTTCTTGATTTGATCAATATTTTCAAGAATTCTCACATCTTTGATCAATGTGCCGTTCACCCAGGCGAAGCGCAGGAGGAGTGCGAGGACGTAGGCCGCGTAACTCGGGGCGTTTCGGCCGTCCCCAGCAGAAACAGTTCTGTATGTTATCCACAGTCCCAGCAACTTCGTATGTAAAGGATCGAACAATCGAACAATTGCCATATGTTGGAACAAGCAGAACTGTTATTTGGGACTGGGTTTCCAGGCAATTGCATCTGTGTTTGGGTGCCAAGAGTGCACAGATTTATCGCATGTCAGTCGAAGGGAAGATTACGTTTTTCTCGAGAAAACCTGCCAGGTGCTTAGCAGGGAATGAAGGAGTGACCCTGGACCCTCCACTATAGATACCTTGGGATGCATTCCCCTATTCTCTACTAAGCACGAGTCAGAAACCTCAGGATTGCTTGAGCTTTGTGAGGTGAAGACAGGTAAAGGCTGGGCATGAAGGCCGTAGCGGTAAGTAAAAGACACAGTCAAGTTGCCGGTGGTTCAACTGATGTACAAAGATGTACAATGTGATTTCTTGTGACATCGAATGGGCAAGAAGTCAACAACCGAAGGAGTTCAGAACTTTTCAGAACCCTTTGGTATTTGTGGCACACAAGTTACACACCCACACACCTACACACACACACACACTCTCTCTCTCTCTCTCACCCAACTTGACCCTTTTCACCCAGGGAACGAAACGAATATGAACGAATCCAACCGATTCAGAGGGCTTCAGATTTTCCTCGCTCCGCTCCGTCCTGACCTCTGTCTAAAAAGCCCATTCCGCCGTCTGTCCAGGTTCCGTCTGCTTCGAGCCCACGGGCAAGAGCACGGTGCAAACCTGGAGCCCCGGCACCGCTTGCAGCGGTCGTCCGTTCGGTCGTCCGAGTCGGTTGGTTCACGGTGGGTCGGTGACGAGGGGTGCGGCGTACGGCGTGCGGCGTCGTAACTAAGAGTCTTCATGGGGGTGGAACGAATTCCACCTGGAACATCTCAAACACCATTAATTAAGACTATATAAGCGGGGCTCGCGGCTAAACTGTGGGCCTTCTGTAAGCGCTAGAGTGCTTTCATAGGTTTTGGGACCCTGCCCTAAAACAAGAAGATCCTCATGTCGGAATCTGTCTTTGTTGTCTTTTTTGGTGGGTACTATTCTGGAACCACTTTAGGTGAGCCATGTCTCCCTAAGTTCTGTTGTTCCTGTTGAGCCTGTTGAGTGAAACTCAGCCATTTTGGCACCGTGGACCCGATGGAGATAGAGGAGGCAAAGCAATGCCTCTTGTTCTTCAGCCAGCCATGTCCGGAAGAGCTTCGTGGGCTCACCGAATGGTTGAAGGACTGCATTGCGATTTTGTGGGCCATTCAACATGCGCCTTCGTCAGCTTTATTGTCCGACTGTGGCAAACCAGACTAAGCCTGCTGAATAACTTCACTCAGGGACAAGCGGAAGGGTAGTGCACAGACAGGGCTTTGCAAAAACCTATTCTACTAACTTCGTAGCAGGCTCGGGACAGTCGTGGAACCTGGCCCCATTCGCGGACCATTCGTGGAATGGTTGACCTTTAGGAAAACAAACCGTACAATAAAGCAGAAACCTTCGCAGAGCTTCGTGGAAGGTACTAACTTCGTAGAAGCAGTTTTTGCTGACACCCTTTCCGTACACACCCTCCATTTTGCCTTTATTCGCACTTTCATGTGGCAAGCCCAGCAAAAACCCCAACAAAGCCTGAACCTTCTGTTTGGACAAACGGGTGGTTTTCATACCATCTGAGTCTGCGGTCTATGTGTGAGCTGAGGTTTACTTTGGTGACTCTGAACTCCTTGGACTACTTAATGCGAAGCAGACAGCTGTGTAAAGTGCCCAATGACCACGGACCACGAGACTGTTTCATTTGTTGAACCATAGCGATCGCTTTCCCCCTGTCGTAGAATCAGCGGCGGCAAAGCGACTCCGTGCGGTGTATCAGAAGGCTTTGTCCCGAAAGATGCCAGGCCTGGGCATCAGCTCGGACTTTGAAGTGGTGGCGGACACTGGGGCGGTTGGGATGTACTACAGTCGATGAACTCTGTGATCAAAACAAGTTTGATAGAGCTAGCAGCCCATGAACTCTGGGATCCAACAAAGCTAGAGAGATGCTAGAAGCTGTTGAACTCTGTGATCCAAAAAAGCTTGACAGATGCTACAAACTTTTGAGCTCCGTGATCCACAAAAGCTAGAAAGATGCTAGAAACTTTTGAACTTTGGGATCCAAGAAAGCTAGAAAGATGGTAGAAACTTTTGAACTTTGGGATCCAAGAAAGCTAGAAAGATGCTAGAAACCTTTTGAGCTCTGGGATCCAAACAAGCTAGAAAGATGCTAAAAAAATTTAAACTCTGGGATCCAAAAGAGCTAGAAAAATGCTAGAAGCATTTGAACTCTGGGATCCAAAAAGCTAGGAAGATGCTAGAAACTGTTGAACCCTCTGTCCCCAAGAACCTAGTGTGTTTATATAAACTACAAAAACGCTAGAAACTTTTGAGCTCTGGGACCAAAAACAGCTAGAAAAACGCTAGACGCTTTTGAGCTCTGTGATCATAAAAGCGGTGCTAACGAAGCGTGTTTGCGATCGGGGCCGCTTAGTTTTTATGCGTGCGCCCTCCACGCACGCGCGCAGCAACGTCGACTATGAAGAAACCATTTCCGCGCGCGCGAAGGCGTGGAAGGCCACCACACTGCGCCATTTTCCCGTTCCCTCGCGGCAGCTGGCTTTCGGTCCCCCCCTTCTTAGGTTTTGCCACTCATTGTCCATTTTGTTGATATGCCGGCCCATGAATGCAGGTTCGACTTTTGTTTCTAAATGCTCTGAGATTTCGTCGCGGGGCAGAGATCGACCTGAGCCAGAGTGTGACGATTGGTAGCATCATTGCAGATGATGGCCACGGGACCGAGATTCCAACCCGCACTGCATTCACGCGAAGGAGGGTGAACAAAAACATCCCGAATTAAGACCCACCCCAGTCAAGTTTATTCGGCGGGTCTAAATTACTGCCACAGCAGGCCATGACTCCTACCAGCCGATCACGGTTACTAGTGCAAGGTGTAACCAGCAAGGACTCAAAGAGCAGTGTCATATCTTCTTGTTTTCCTTTGGAGACTTTTGGCCATAGACTTTTGACATCCTCTTCGAAGTCGACTCACACACGCACATGGACCTCCTGACCTTTGAGACATGGACCTCCCTCTTTGCCGCAGTTTCGGGGCCTTGAAACATGCTGCACCTTCGTCGTGACAGCGGCACCTCTGGGACACAACATTTTGTCTTCGATCTTGGTCAACCAATTTGTGCGGAACACCTTTCTAAACAAGTGTTGACAAGCGCTTATATGTCCCGCACATGATTCTCCCAGGAACCAGACCCCTTGAAAGCTGTGGCTTTCTAGACATCGTGGAAATTCGCTTGTGGATTTCTAGACATCGGGACAGCGGCCAGGAAAGATAAGCGAGGCTGGGGCGATTCCCTCCAAGATGACGGATGATGCCGGGAATCCGCTCATCGTCTATTTGGAGCCGCCGGCAAAGCTGGCCCTGAGGTTCCAGGCGCTTGTTAGCAAGGGATTCCGCACAAGTTGGTTGACCAAGATAGAAGAAAAGATGTTGTGCCCCAGAGGTGTGGCTGTGACGACGAAGGTGCAGCATGTAGTGCGCGGTGGCGAGATGTGTCTCACTCGCCCCGAGCGTGAAGAGCCCGAACAGGGGGGCGAGGGCGAGGACGGCGAGGACGTCGACTGAGAAAACAACGTGTGCAAGCCACGGGGAAGGGAAGGGATCACGGGTCTACCTCGCTGTTAGCCAGGAGAACCACCCATGCCACATATGTGTAAACCCCTCCATTGCAGTCAAGGTACCGCTAAAGTTTGTCAATTTGTGAAAAGCACTCTCGGGGTTGGGAACTGCCGAGAACCACGATAAGGATTCTCAGGTACACTCGAACTCCCCAAGGCGGAAATTGGCCCAACCCCTCCATAGAGGAAACCCATCGCCGCAGGGCCTGAATTCTGTAACTTTCCGGTTCCCTTCAACCTGGATTGCCTTCAAGCCACCTAAGGAAGTGGGTGGGCGATGGACGGGGCGCGTACGAAAAAGTGGAGAACTTTGCGCCCTCGGCCGCAGATGGTGCCGAAACGTTCGTCACGTTCCAACAACTTGTTTGTTGGTCTTTTTCCAGGAGCTCTTCTGGCTCCCGCGACGGCAACATGCTCAGGCTCTTTTTTTCCGTGAGCCGAGCATGTTCCGGTTTTTGAAGAAGTTCTTTGTTCTTAAACCGATTTAGGCTCTTCTTCCGCCATCCATTTCTAAGACAGATCATGAAAGTGGCTTCTGCGGTCTGAGCAAAATTGTGCCTCACCCGCCACCTAGGCCTTTGTGGGGCAAGGTGCAGGGAGCTTTGAACGGCGCCTGGTCACTGGGCATGTGAATATCCATTTTTCACTGTGGGTTGGTCGTTGCCAGTGTACAAGTTCAACAGACCACATGTTCCACGCCATTGTGGCATCATTGATTCACTGTGGTCTGTTCCACCATTGTCTGGTCACCTGGTTGGTTCAACACCATGGCTGTCCCCTTTTCAACCTGGTCGCAGTAAATCCATCACCACACACTCGCAGTGTGTCTCTCATCCCCAAACTTGAACAAACTCCAGGACGGGCTGTCGCAGTGCCACATCAGAACCGCGTTAGTCTAGCGTCGAACATCCTCAAGCATGGACTCTATACTTCATGTGGATTTCACTGCCTAAGCGAGGCCGTGACGGATTGGGACCGCAAGTCGCGCTATACTTCATGTGGAGTGAGAAAACATGTGAGACCATGGCCCCCCGCGACAGGACCACCCGCCTTCCGCGGCCTTAATCGGGGACGCCTTCAAGCCTTGAGATCGTTGAAGCAGAACTGTTCGCCTCATGAGGATGAGTCCAAGATGGGGACATCGTTAGGTCAGTCCAAGATGGGACCCTGTGTCTCCCCAGCAAGTTGTGGGTGACGCCGCGGAGTGACCCTCCTCACTGTAGATGGGTGTATCCAATGGCGTCGATGAAACGAAGCGAAACCAGGGGGTCGAACTGGGAAGTCTTCCCATTTTGATACACACCCATATGGATGTCATTGCAGTGTCTTCTTTACCGCAAGTCTTTTTGAGACATGCAACTGGATCCGCTTTTGTCACACTTTTCAAGTTAACGCTCAGGAAACGCAATATCCACCAACTGGTGGGAGATTTTGCCCCCGGTGGTGCTTCGGCGCTTGCTGTTGCGGATTGCTCGCAGGCAGGGCGTTGGTGGACGGAATCCAAAGTCTCCATCGAAACAGTTTGAGCAGATCACACTTCTCGTGCATCAACATGGTTTCAAACTTTCAATTTGCTTTGATCGAGACGTGTTTCTTTACAATGACCGGTTTTGCTTTGGATTTGGAGCTATTTGGCATGATTTGGCAATGACCATCCTTTGAGGAGTGTGAGCTGACTGGGTTGACTAGGTTTCCTGATCTTCCTGATCATCATGTTCACCCGCAACTCGTTCCGGCACGACAGACGAGCGTGACTGTGGTGGGAACGAACGGACAGCGAGATGAGATGACCATTGAACACAGTCCTACTACTCGCGTGGAGGTCCATTGAATACGACCCCCCCAAAAAAACCATGACTTACAAATCTTACAACATATTCCAAGCTCTCCTGGAGAAAGGTCTAGGGTTAAGTTCATGATCTTCATAGTTTTAAGATGTTTCAAGTTCATCTTCACCCAACAACCTTCCCAGGTGCCCCTTGATGGTCCCCTCTGATGGTCCCCAGATGACCCCCTGATGGCCCCCATGGTAGCTTGAGCTGCAAGCCTTTTATATTTTTGGGAGTCCACCTGGGCGGGTTTTGGTTTAACACCCATGTCAAGACTGCTCGGATCGAGGACGGCAGCAAGCAGATCCACTGCTGGAGTGTACCAAGGAGAGCTGGGAGTCAAGGTTGCAAACCACCAGCACCCAGTGTTCTCAGTCCGAAAAAGTATTCGTAACCCATTTCCGTGGCAGCCCATGCCATGTTGGTGAGATGCTGAAGGTACACATTCTAGCGCCCGAAGGGCTCGAACACATGATCCACATGAGTCTGAGGCTTGATGAGTCGTTGGTATGGCTTCTGCTAAGCCCGGTCCCTCCACACAGCTTTGGAGAGAGATATGGTCGCCAGTTGGACTTCGGCGCCAAAGAAAATACGAACATGCACCAAGTCATGACTCAGTGGAGCTGGTTTCGATCGTTTTTCTTGAGCCTTTGAGCGGAAACACGCAGTGGCGTGTTTCACGCCAGCAGTTGTTGGTGTACCAGACCCAGATAGGAAGGTTTGGTGTTCAAGGGATTTCTGACTAAACCACATAGATACTATATAGATACTATAGTTACTATCATCCCCGTTGAATCATTCCCCTTTATAGAATCAGTGATCCATAGTGATCCTGGAAACCGAGCCTAGACATCAATCCTTCCGGTCCGATGGCGTCCGGACCGTTCTGTCAGCGTGAAACGCGCGCTGAGACGTCGTACCGGACGCTCGGGAGCCTGTTCCCCTCGACGTCCAGGAGATTGCCATGATGGACCTTTGGTCTGAGACGACCCTTGGGCGGGCGAAGTACTCGTTCTGTGCCATCAAACCGGTGGTTTGGGATAGCCATTGGCTTGTTTTTGTTTGGTGGTTGAGATCTTGATGGTCACCATACTGTTGCTGTTGGCACACATTTATTCAATGAAGATCCTAAGTTCGATCTCCCGTTGGCCGCATGGGTCCTTTTCATCCAAAAGGCATGTTAAGATGAGTCCGTCTCTTGAGTTTTTGTCCGTCTCTTGAGTTCTTAGCAGGAATCAAGACGGGAATCTCATCTCTTGTGAACAGTGTCCAGTTTCAAGAGTCCACTACGTGCCCTTCTTGAGAGCATTGACATCGTGTGAGACTCGTGAATGTGTGTCACCCAAAAATTCCAGAATTCCGTCATAGCCAACACTCCCACCAAGACCCAAACCTCTCGCCACACCCAGGAAGAAGGCATTTTGCTGCGCTCACACCGGCAGATATGGCTGTCCACCACAACCACCTCCCGTCCCGGAGCAGCGGCCGCTTCCGCGGCCGCTTCCGCGGCCGCCGCCGCCGGTGCCCAGCACCCCACCGGGCCCGGACTGCTTGAGTGGTAGCATTTCGTCCTGGTCGAAGGGGAAAGCTGCCGCTCAGCGAGCGTTTGGCTGTGGCCGCAAGGAGTTGGCGTGAACGACGCGGTGGAAAAAAACAACAATTCATGCATGTACTCTGGGAGAACAGGACGAGAGTTCTAGCCACACTTACTTCCAGACAAGCCGTGCACCTGCAGTTTAGAGTCTTTTTCTTGGGGTGAAACGACTGCGGTTCGCTCCCGGCTTGTGGACGACCAGGGAGAGGGGTGAGCACCAGTTTGACAGGGAGAGCCCCTGGAAGAAGGAAAAGAGACCAGCCCGGGGAGATAATCGTGTGAATGGCTAGTAACACATGCGTAACATTGGAATCCCACCACCCAATCATACCTCATCATGACAATAATCCATTTCCTTTTTTAAATACATTTCAGAGACCTCCGCACCTTTGGGTGCAAGCACGGTGCCCGACCTTTGAGACCCAGAATGCCTCGGCCGAGCCGGCCTTTGAGGCCTTCTGCTGCAAGCACGTTGGCCGGGGGTGTCCCTTGCCGGTGTCCATGCCTTACAACTGTCACGCCCAGCAAATTGAGACTTGGGCGATTGGCAAGAAGCTTTGGTGCTGTCAGAACTACCAGGCCGAGGGCTTCGGGCGATGACCGACCTGACAAAACCATCATCGTGGATGACCATGGCAAGGAAAAGAAACACATTTTTGCTGGCCACCAACCTGGCTATGGCTTCCTCTTTTTTCCATGGAAGACGTCATAAGAAGTCACCCGGGTACCCAAGCTGCGCAGCGGACCGACACATGCAGGTGGGTTGCCCACACTATGCCCCGACCCTTCCGTACGACTGCGAAGCAGGACCCTGTCCGATGAACCGGCCTTCTCTCGCGTCGCGTAGCGCGCACCGTCACGCTGCGGACATCGACCTTTCCATCCCTCTGGACTCCAATGAGACCACCTACCAGCGCCCGGCGCCGAGCAGGTCTCGTATTACGAGGGTTGAAGAGGGCCCCAAAAAGGGGTCTCAATTGGTGACCTGTGACAGAGGGTGCTGGTATACAACAAGTATGTTACATTACATTATGTTACAGTATGTTCTTCATTTTGGACTCCGGACTGCTAAGATCTGCATTCACTCAGTTCAAGGCCCGGGGAGGCATGAACCTGAACTAAGACCCAGTGGTCCACAAATACAAAGCATGTTGAGATATGTTGAGTAGAAAAGCTGGCAGTGAAGTTGGCACAATGACGCCGAGACTGGTGACTGGTGGAAGGAACGATCCGTGTGCCACTTCCGGGCCGTAGATCGACGTGGACATGCGTGGCGTGCGGGCGGGGTTCCCGAAAGTCAATTCCTGGGTGGAGGGTCAAATGGGGATGGGCCATTGGATCAATACTTGGAGCGAGCGACCTTCCAGGTAGGTCAACCGGTCGGTCTGGTTTTGGCCCACAGCCATATCGGAGGAGCCAGCAATTGGAAGAAGGGCTGGTCTTCGTCGAAGCAGGTGCCTGAAGCAGAAGACTACTCCAAGCCCCGTGCAGTCTTAGCGGCTGAGAAGATTTGAGGTAGTGCAAGGCATTTCGTGCTGCACGAAGGGTTTGTGAGAGGCTGAAATCCCAAAGACAGGTCACATGTGTGCAACATGGGAGACCCCGACAGCTCAAATTCAGGACACAGCTGACATACCTTTCATTGGACAGCCTTCCTGTAAGGCCATAGTTATCCCGAACTTCCATCGGCACTTTCATTCTACATGGAAATGCCTTACTCAATGCACAGGTCAATGCACAGGTGTTGAAAACATTGACATTTGCGGTGTTTTGCATGGGATGTGGTATATACTGTAAATAAACCGTCTCAGGTGGTGTGGGATTCTAGAGGAACCATCACTCCTAGCAGTGCGCATTGCTTGGCGGCCAGGCATGGTGCTGCAGCCACAACCATGTGGCATGCACTTTGGTCGCAGATTTTGGAGCTGCTCCTTCAGTGGATACATGATGTGGCGTTACCGTAGGTTTTGCAGATTCCACCAAAAGCAAGAGGGGGGCCAGGGAGGCGTGGCCTGGACAAAATGACCAGGGAGTGGGTTCTTTGACGTTCAGCTTTGGCAGGGTATTCATGCTTCTTTTTTTCAAAAGTTTGGCAGGTCGAGGGTTTGTCAGGACTCCAGGATTTGATGTGTCTTTTAACACCAGAGTCGAGACACCCCTTCTCACGGTGGAACATCATGCTGAAAATCAGAGCGGCCACACGACGGTAGACGCAGGTTTAAACAACTCCGCCGAAGCGGTGCAGATTGCGTGGCGGCCGCAATACTTTGTGGACCTTGAAGTGCAGATTTCGTGGCAGGCGCAGTACTTTGTAGACCTTGAAGTGCAGATTTGTGGTTTCATGTGTGTGGGTGCTTTACATTACCTTTCATATGTGTGCTCTCTAGGCCACCCCTAGATCTCTAGACAGCTCTCTCCATCACCACCACCACCATCACCACCGCCACAACCACCATCACCACCATCACCACCATCACCAATACCGTCACCACCACCACCATCACCTCTCTCTGGAACCCAATGCGTCCAGATCTCAACTTCTGCTTCCACACTTCCAGACCGTAGACCTTTAGACCGTTTGGGGTCTCTTGCCGGGATATATTTTAATTTCTGCTGGACCATGTCACGAGGCTTTTGGCCACGGATCCTGCAGGGTTCCTTGTCGACGCGTTCCTCGCGGCGGTCGCTACGTCCCGCGGATCCGCTCAAGGCATGCCATCGGTGCCAGTTGTGACGCCTTCCTCCATGCCATACGACTGTCATGCAGGGTATAGCAATTGGAGGACCCCAGTGGCAGCGCTGACTGACTTGCGCTCCGAACATCGATGCCGAGAGGAAAGCAGAGAGATCTGATCTGATCCGGTCGATTCATGAGGAAATGAGGAGTTTTTTCCAACTTTGCCTTCAGTGGTAAACGAGGGTAGAAGGATTCTGATGCAGACAACATCTGGAAGATTTCAAACCCCAAATGTCCGATGAAACCTACGTATTGATTTTTGATGATTCTTGCAAGTGTTCCAGATTCTAGTATTCGAACATATTCGAACCATAGGCTGAACGCTGCGAGGACGGGCTGGTCTGAGCCCAAGAAAGGCTGGTGTTGCGACCATTTCAAGAAGCTAGGCTGCACCAGGATTTTTGCGAGCGAGCTTGGGTTTGTTGAAGTGAATTAGAACCCCTCTGATTTAGGTTTTCAACGAAAGAGGCAACAAAACATGACACACAAAGGAGTGGCAACCACTTTTGCATTGCCCAAACCCAGGCAGTATAGTAGCTTCTGGGCACAAAAGATTGAGATGCACCCACTCTGAACTACGATGTGTGGAAGACGGATACGGATGACTGGACATGTGCACCCCTCCCTTCGAAGCACAGTGAAGTGCGGATTGGTCAGCAGGCGCCCGTAGTGGTGCCATGGCCAAGGCCCGTAGGATTCCAGTCACCAATGGATTTAAGAGTCTGACAATCCAAAACCAACAAAAATGCCTTAGTCATAGTACTACAAAACAACGCCTTAGTTTTAGTCTTTTGTAGTTAGGTTTTTTTCTGAACAACACCTTAGTTTTACTTACTAAACAAAAACCAGGAATTCTTGCGGGACTCTTTTGAATGTTCCGGACTGCGACCGGGCCAATCAGATGCCATCCTTCAGCTGAAGCGCCGAGGAGAGGATGTTCGGATGACCCCTACGACTGTGACGCGGGCTTGTCCAATTGGCACGTCGAGTGGTCGGTGGCCTGGAGAAGAGATCGACCTCTGCAACCGCGCTAGAGGCGTAGAGATCGCCGTGTGCGCAACCGCACATCAGAGATGACCAGGTAGCAGAGAATCAACATCTTTTGATCTCAGATATATAATAGAAAAGACACATCATCCATAAGTCCATAAGGGAGGCAGGCCTCTTTTTATCTCTTTTTGAGTTGGTGTCACCATAGAAATTCACTCAACCTCTTGTGCACCTGTCGTTTTCCCACAACAAAAGGGTGGAACTCCGGTTCCGCACTGGTGGACCTTTCAGAAGATCTGCAGGAGTTTCCAGGAGCACTGCGCTGTAAAAATCAAGGACCTACCAAGCGGTTTCGCGATTCGATCCGGCTGTGAGGGACCAGCGCGAGGGTTTCAGCGCCGGGGACCAAGCACTTGGATGGAAACGTACCACTGCAAACGGTTTCTGTCCGAGACACCCTGTACAAGTTCGACTGCCCACGTGAAATTCAGGGCGGGCGCGTTTCCCAGCAAGTTGCCTCAGGAAGGGAAGAAGTTCTGGTGCTGCGAGCATCGTAGCAAAGGGTGTGAGGCGGCTTCCTCACCCTACGATTGCTCCTCAGGTGGGTCCGCACCCTACGAACACGTCCGCACGATCGATGAGTCGATGAACCGAGTAGCGTCTGATCACTTGAGTAGCCTTTTGGAGGACCTACCAAGCTGAAGGACAGAAGAAGGGGGACCTCCATGACATGCTGACATTCATGTTCCAGTCCAAGCCGTGGACAGCTTTTTCGGCCACGATCCGTTACCGATGGAACAAGCATGCACTGGTGGAGAAGCATAGCAAGGGAGTAGCGATGTTCTTGGGGGGCCACACTTCGCTAGAAAACAGAGTAGTAAAAATATACGGGTAGTACCTGGAGGTTTTCACATGTCGCAGCTGAGACACATTATCCAGCTGTAGTACAGCGCATTGCAGTGCAAAGGAAGCTCCAAGCACCAACCAAATCCGAGCGTTTGGTGCGTTCGTGTACGACGGAGCTGTGGGGACGTGACGGAGCTGCGGGGATGAGACTGATGAGCTGCTCAAGCCACAAGTAGTGGGAAACGGGTCACAACCTCGACTCCCTACATGGCTCATCATACCCAGAACTTCCATTGACTCATTTACTCCACATGTGGGAGTCAGACTCCACCACCTTTGGGGCAAAAAATGAGTCATGACTGGACTCCCAGGGATATGATGTGAACATATTATGTGAACCTTCTTGGGTGGGCCTCCACCGCACGAGGGTTCCGGCAGCACATGCAGGCTATAGTAGCTGGCAAAGCACTTGGACACCCGGAAAGAAGACCTGGCAGCTTGGCACTGCCAAGGGGAACGAATCCATGAATAGATCTGAAGATTTTGGGAGTCATGTAAAATCTATATACAGACTCAGTTGATTAACAATGAATGGCTTTAACAGTGAATGACAGTTGAGAGGTGACACCTAATTGAGATATTTCTGACACTGAAGGACCCATCATGGCGGTTTCAACCATCCGGATGTTCCCCCCCAAAAAGCCGACCGCCGACCGCTTATGCCTTCGTTTTCGACACGGATCACGCCATGACTTCTGCGGACCGATGGCGAAGAGCGGCCAGAACTGCCGGTTGTGAACTCCACACGTCGAAGTGGTGCAATGGACCGTGCCCTTTGCAGCTGACGAACATGGACCGATTTCACATGGACGTTTGTTTACGAAGACTATTCTGATTCTCATCGTTCAGAGTCCATGGTAATCTGCAAGAGGGTAAATCTGTTTCCTCATAGCATCTCATAGCTAATCATACCCTCATAACATCTCATGTCGCATCTCGGATGGTCAGACTCCTGTTCCACGGATGGTCTGGGGACGACTCAGTCCCCTTTGGACCAATTCGGAGGTGACTTGAGGGTCCAAACTCACTGAGTCGACATGAGTCGACGGAAACGCAATGGGCATCTTGCAAGATCTTGTTTTTGAAGGGCAGTGGAAAAGGATAAGTCTTGTCTCCCAAAGAGTAACTGATTCTTGATGTGTGATAGCCAAGCAATTGTCAAAATGCAGAATAGGCTAGCAAGCAAACAGACATGAGTCAGACAGCACCTCAGACCTTCATCACCGTCGGTACTCTGAGGTGCTGCGAGAAGCAGCATCGTGGTTGCCAGCCACACCACTGGATCCACAAGCCTCTCTTCGATGCTTGGATGATCCAGCATTGAGAAGCCTTCTATAGGACTCACGCTGCAGGCAGTGGCCTCTCCTTACCGCGGAACAGAAGGGCACTCGGTTTTGGTTCTTTCTCCGCACACCGCCTGCGATTTTTTGTTTATGCCTATGTTAAGCCTTCCCAGATGGCCATGGTGAACACAGTGACCTAGACCTAGTCGATCCGGACATTACCTGCTGATCTGATCGGCTAGTCTTTGGTGGAGAAGGGGTCTTTAAGGCAGTGTCACCCCTTTGCCGGTCTTCGCCCCTCAGGATTGCCAAGTGGGTTATTCGCAGTGGAGTGAGGCTTGGACACCAGCAAAGAAGATGCCTGGCGCACGAAGGAACTTCTGAGTTTTTTTGAGGTAGGTGAGTGCGATTGCATAGTGAAAGAAGGAGTACATGAAAAAAGGAAGCATGCCAGCATGCATGTGGGTCATTCAAAGATGTTTCATCCTTTGCTTGGGTGTAACACTGTACCTATTCCAAATACCTTCATATTTACCGGTGTGTGAGGCGATCTCTCGGTCAACTGTCTCGCTCCTTTCCGACGACCGGACGATTCCCCGAGGAGCAGCTCCGTAGGAGTGAACATCGAAAGGGAAGTGGGTTGCCAGGGTTGCTATGCTTTTCTATATCAGTATATTATACATATAGGTGTGGGTTTGCGCACCACCTTTGGGGTGGTGGCAGATGCTGGCAAATGCACCAAAAATCGAAGGAAGGGACATAATTCGAATGAACAATCGAATGAACCAGAAGGAACCCTTTCCTAGAGTAAACACAGGAACTCACGCAGTACTCCTTTACCACCACGGTCCTAGAACTCCATGGGCACTCTAGGACAGCCCTGTGGGTCGAAGGTCGCACCGGATGTTCCATGGATTTCTGAACATTTGCATGGAAGGAACGACGGAACGACTTCCAACATTCGTAACACGATGTAACACAATGTCTTGCTTTCCTCCGAGAGAGAGCATGTCTCAGAAAAGCCACCGGACCCTGCTGCGGGCACTTGAGCTACGCACTTAGGACCTGGTGTTGCACTCACCGGAAACTGGGTTGTGCTCCAGCGGACCTTTCGGCTGCATTGGTTTTCTCCTCGGGGTCGAAGCAGCTCCGATGTGTCAGACTGACTCGTCCGCGCAGCGCCTACCCTCCCTGGAACTAACGAACTAACATCGATGGATGGCCTGGCCCCGTAAGGAAGACCACGAACTCCTCCTCAACACAACAACAGGGCTGGGTGAACTCCACTTCTGTCTGAGTTCCGGGGAGAGTCTTCGCCGTGAGAGGTCGACCGAGCTACGTGGGTTGCCACGTGTGGAGACCTCGCGCTTTCTTCGTTCGTCCTCTGCCCGGTTCGTGGCGGACACCGGCGGACATCCTCCATCCTTCAGCCCCCAAAGAAACAGACACAGATCCGTAATTGTGGGACTGCAAGATGCTCATGATGCTCACAAAACTGGCACAAAACCGATGCTGAAGAGGAGGTTGGATGAGGTTGATTGTCAATGGGCGCCAGGGAGCATGTGTCCGCTCATGGGCAGTAAGTCACAACATGGTCCAAGGCTGCTTTCTGTCGGAAAGTAAGTGTTTGCTATGTTGAAGTGAGTTTTGACGAGAGTATTGTGGATGGGTGCATTGCAAGTCGCCCGGCCCCCCTTTTCTTCCGGTTTGCTTCCACTTACTATCGATAGAACGTTTGCGCCATCGCTGGAGGAGGGCGGCAAGAGGATAGATACTTTGACCCAAAGGCCAAAGGTCGGGGAGGTCTTCAACTCGATTTTGCGGGTCGATTTTGGAGCCCTGACACATCCCAGGAGAATTACGATTGCAATGCTGGATTCACCAACTGGCGTGCTGGCTGGTCGGATGACAAGAAGTCGTGGTGTTGCGAGCATCTTTCATGCTATACGATTGGGCTGTGGCTAAAGTGCTTGTTCACTGTTTGTTTGTGGGATTTTGGAGGTGGTGTGGTGTTTTCACAGTTCTTATCAAAGACGCACGGAGGTTGCAATGTTGCAACACATGTCCTGATGTTTTCTTTGGGAAGTGCCCAGCAAAAGTCGCAGCTCAAAGTTCTTCTCGGGATTGCTCTTTGGTTGGAGCCTCAAGTGAAGGACCCCTTTTTGGGGGGGTGTTTCCCTTTTTTGGGCTCACAGAAATCACCGCCACCACCAGAACAGGAACAGCTGCTACTACTGCTACTACCACCACATCATCCTCATCCCACTATTCACTATTACTTCTCATCCTACTACTTGTAGTGCTGCTGTTTCTACCGGGGTGCCAGGTTGCTGGTACCGGGGTGAAGTCCTCTGGTCTTGTCGTAAATCTTCCACAAAAACTGGGTGACTAAACCGCAGGGACTTGTGAATACAATGCAATAATTCTCACTACTTTTGGCTGTCTCCACATAGTCCACGTACACCGTTCACTCCGGGCACCTTCTGCGTGGCCAAACACCCCAACTCCGACGGTCGTGCACAGGCATGCTCAAAAGGGCTGCTCCAAGATGCCATACGACTGTAATGCAGAGTATGCGAAATGGAAGGACCAAGAAAACTGGGGTGGGCAACTGGGAGGAAGAGTCCGGAGTCTTTAAAAAACTACATGTGTTCTTTTGGAGCTAAACACATGAGCAGAAGCCGGAAGTTAGAGGGAACCCAGTTAGTCAAAAGTGAAAGAGGTCAAGACCGTCAAGACCTTTGAGCAGAACTTACACTCCATGATTCTCCATCCTCCATTCATCCTCTATGCATCACTTGAAGCATCATGAAACATCAACCTGCTCCATGGCGTCCGCATTCCCACCGATCCCCACCACGTCAAACTTCCGCGTCTGCCAGACCGTTGAAGCTGTCATTACATTGCATGTTCCGGTGTTGTTCAGCCTCCCCATTCGTTGGAGGGTACGGACCTCCTGCGTTTCCGGCGTGGTTCCGACGACCGGATGGTTCCACCCAGCGCGCCAGGAGGGCTGGTCCACGGCCAAGAAGGTGGGTCCCGGCACGGAATGGGTTCGTTGGTCGAGGGAGAATGTGAAGTGTCGGTCCGGAAGAGTTCGGACCCCAAAGTGGCCGAAGCGGACCCAGATGGAGTTTTGGCCGCGACCGACTTGCGGGGGGGTCGACCGGATTTTTTGGGTGCTCAACAAGGTGAACTACAGGCGAGATGTGACCATGGAATATACTGGAACCTGAGAATAAGCAATAGACTTGCTTTCATTTGGACCCTAAGGTTTCATGATTTTGTGCGTGACACCGACCCCGCCCAAAGAAGGCGGTCCGAGTGCCAAAAGAAGGGGAGTCCTTCGCTGGGCGTTTGAACACCCATTGGATCTCCACGACCGGGGCGCCCGGATTCCGCCCAGGATTCCCGAGAGTTGACGTGATCACACGGGGTGGACGACGGCATGGGGAAAGTTGAATTCGACTTGGCTTAGGTTCATCAGTTGACCGTAGAGTTACTTGCATTGCAGATGATATTAAACCTCTGACTAGTTTGATTCCGACAGATCACAAAACCATTTTGTCACTCCAAGTTCCACGAAACGTTAAAATGATGAGCTAAGATTGCCGAGCTCCACAAACCGCGCTAGTCTCGTTTTACTCACGCATGTCGAATGCACGAGGCCTGGTGTTGCCAGCACTTCCAGCGTGGCTGTGGCAGTGGAAGCTCGAGCTACGCCGCTTACGCTGAGTTCGGCATTTTGACTGCTATTTTGTCATTTTGGCTTGAACCTTCTAGATTCTATAGTTGTTCTTCGGCTGTGTTCTGGTACAGCTATAGCTATTGTTCGTCATTTTGGCCTCCCTTTCTTGGACCCCCTCACGGGTGGTTATATTGGGTTTGACGTGGGTCTTTTTTTGGGGGGTGGACATGGGTTGTGACACCTATTGATCCAGCCTTCCAAAATGCATGTTGGCACCCGTGCCCGATGGACACATCTGGAATTTGCCGATCAGTTGGGATCCGCTGTGGAGCAACAAGACACAGAGCTATAGCCAGTTTCACTCTCCTGAGACCTTTCCTTCTGAATACTTTACTTGTTTTCTATTGCTACCATGTGACATGATCAACTAATCAGCGTGCCACAAGATCCATCAGCTCTATTCCCTCTTCCCTCCTCTGAGCACCAGACACGGTTGCCAGGACTGCAAAGCAGGCTTGTCCAATTGGAGGGTTGGATGGTCTGCCGACAAGAAGTCCTGGTGCTGTACTCACGCGGGCACTGGCTGCATCTCTCATCAGCACCACGTGGTGTACATGCACGTGCCCTCGCACGAGGTCTATGTCGCTTGGTGTCATACCTGGTATGACCAGGTCGGTCCAAATGTCTCGGACTGGTGACTGGTGATGACTGCTTATAGCCTATTCCTGGGGATGGGACCAACAGCTATACATTTACATAAAGGTCTATCCACTGTCACAACATCCCCTCACAAGGCAGGTCCGAACTGGAAGTGGCTTCGAGCAAGTGGCGGAGAACACAGGTGATATGGGATGAGTAGGAGCTTTGATGTCCAGGATACAGATAGGTTGTCAAAGTTGTTGCAAGCAGGTGTTGGACCTATCAGCCATGCCAAGGGGCTGACAATGGTCCTGTCAGTGAAACGAATCGCAGAACACGGAACCGGTCAGCAAGTCAGTGCAGTCTGGACTTCCTAGCAGGGCTTCTCTGCATGAATGTGGTCTAAATCTGGGCAAGGGGTCGGACAGTGTCTCTACTGTATCCGTTTTGGAGTCTTTGTTTGATTTACGTCCCCTGCAGATTGATATCCGTATGGACCGTGTTTCTTCGGGTCATATGGTCGAATCCACCTGGTCAATTCTGAGGGTTTATCGGAGGGTTTGGGGGAGGAGACTAGGAGCTTTTTATTGACTTGTTTGGAGAAAGAAACCTTACCATCATGAAGATGGAACAACAAGCAAGAGGTGGAAGAGGAGATTCAGGCTAGTTGACTAGTTGCAAGAGAGTTTCACTCTCCATTTCCCCGAACTTTCACCCTGGTCCACGAGAGACCTGGCAAGGGGCCTGTTCGTTTCGTGCTTCGATCTGTTGATTGTACTGCTAAGTCGTGCAGTGTGCAGCTCCTTTTTTTTGACACGCATCTGGGCCAGACCAAAGACCTGCCTGGCCCACTGCCGCGCGCAGTCGTGACCCAAGGCAGGACATCCACTGCCCTGGCGGGCGGGGCACGACTACACCACTGTCCACACCTTTCACCCGCTGAAGCATGCGGCGCCCCACACGGCGTCGACCGGTGCGCACGGTGTGCACGGATCGACCGGTGTCCAGCAGCCTGGATGGAGGGGAGGAGAGCGGAGGAAATGGTACAGATCCCAGGGGGGGTGGCCATTTTGGGCAGGTCGCAGGCAACAAGACCCTAAAAAAACCTTTGGACGCATGATGAACGAGTCCTTGGCATTGACCCCCCCTTTCTGGGGCCCGAAACGCCCGAACGGGGCAAGACGTGAGGTCTCGCTGGGTCTCGCGCGTGAGGTCTCGCGCGTGCGACGGTGCTGAGGACGGCTGTTCATCTCCCTACGATTGGAGCGCCGTGAGGGGCTGGTCGATCAGAGTGAGGGCAGGGTGGTGAGGGATACGCCGGTCGACCGAACGAGGTTGGCAGCATCTAATACTAGCTGCTGGGTCCTAGGTTCCGAGCCGGAAGCCTTGAGATCTTTTCCTAGGGCTTGTGGATGTTCTATGACACTGTCACTGTGAGAAGATGGCTGCATGTTTCAAGAGCAAAAGGATGCAAATCAAGATCTTTTTGACGGCAATACAAAGCCCTACTGTAGATCTCAAAACTTTGCCTTTCCTGTGCCCGATCTCCGATCTGCTACATTGAGAGAGGAATTGGCCAATCATAACAATTTCTCTCACCAATGCTCGGAACCTAGGGTTGACCAAACACACATCCTGCGTGCTGGGCACAAACAACGACCAATCTCTAAGACTCTTCAAGAATACAGTACCGTAAGATACCACACGGCTGCAACTGGGTGATACCTCTGGAGTCACTGAGACCGTTCCAAGATCCCTGTGCTTGGATCGAGTGGCCCGTTCGTCATACCGAACTGCCCGATGTGCCGCGATGTGCCGGGGAGCCGATCGGGCAGTCTCGGTCCCAAAGCAGGACTGAGACAACACCGACTGGGCGCCCTAGTTTGGTCAGGCAGATGATCGCAGAGGTAGTGCCAGCGGCTTGTCGGGCAGTCTTGGTTTTGTGGCTTTTCACGGGCTGAGGGCCAAATGGAAGGATGCATATTGATGGTCACGAGTCTTGTGGTTTTGGGTAGCAAATTCTTGAACGGGTTGAACCGGGGCTTCATTGACCGACATGACATGCAATCCCCTTCAAAGGTAAGTGACAAAAAGGCATCCTTTTTGACGACCACTGGAGTCTAGACTTTCTGAAGGTAGCTGGTGATAGACTCTGCCAGCATTTGCCAGCTTTTGGCTTGACAATTGACATTCATGTTGGATTTTTGGAAAAACAGTGCCCGGACACTGCTGGGGCAGCCAGGACCATCCGGAAATGGTTGTGGAACTTGAAGCCAGTTTGGAGAAAGTGAGGACGTCGATCATGACTCGTTTTTACTGTAGACTATAGCACTTGAGGATCGGAGTGAAGATGTTTTGTGCAAAGTGGACATCCTTCTACAGCACCTTCAAAGCCCCTTCTGCCGGACTTGGAGTTTCGTCACTCAAGCTCATGCCCTGCAAACCGCTGGTCGTCCGTTGTTTTGCGCTCCACGGTCCGTTCGGCCCTGCGGACGAGCTCCGTCGCTGAACTGTGGCGACCACCACGAGCGACTTGAGACGGCCGGCTGTGACATGGAGCGTCTCACAAATGCCAAAGTGCACCATGCTTGAATCCTGTAGGAGAAGAGATCTGAAACGGCGCGAAGATGCGCTTCGCGAGCGTCTGCATGATTCTTCTTCTTGTTCAAGGATCACTCGAAAGATCTCGAAAGTTAGTTTGGTCGGACAACTTTAAAACATTTTTAAACGATATGATATGAGCTACCGCAAAACGTGCGATGATTAGTTTAGTAAAGAGCGGTCGTGAATTTCAGGAATTTGGCGCTAAAACCTACACAAGCGATAGGCCCTCCAAAAAATATATCAATGATATCTATGATATGAATTTGCTCGACAGAGCGGGACAGGTATTTATATAATATATGTTTATTAAGGTAAAAAGGCAAACATTTCGAGTCAGCCCAACATCATAAGAAGCATGTTTCCAGCACCACGGACTTCGGGTGGTTATTGAGAGAAAAAAGGTAGTGAGGGATGTCTATAAACCACCCTTTCCGTGGTGCTGGTTTTCAATTGTTCATGGTTCTAGGTGCCCACCACACTGGCCAGTTGTAGATACTGCTCCGACATGGTGGAAGTACCTGGCTTGCCCAAGGGGATGATGCCAACCACTGAAGCCGGCGCACCTGCGAACCACTTGCCATGGAGTGTAAGCCATGGAGTTTGTGCACTGAAAGAAGCCTGTTCACACGTGGTTCCAGAATGGGTCTTGTTCCGAAATGGGCCTGGGCTCAACAATTCATGCTTTAGAAGAAAGGCGAGAACAGACCAAAAGAATCTACACAACTCGCAATCTCTCCTTTCGCCACGCTCCCAGAACCCACCTCTCTTCTTCTCTCCCAAAAGCATCAGTTCAGCCATGGAACTGCATCCGAACGTCCCGGCTCTCTTCGGAACTGCCTGTTCTCCTGCCTGTGCCCCGGAATCGCTCAGGTGCCGGTGCCCGTCCCACCAGCGCCTCGCGTCGTGGAGCGCGTGGTGCCGGAGCGCCTGCCAGCGCCGCTGCGGGCGGTGTCGCCCATGGTGGCACGGGTGGCGCCGGTGCGGTGTCCCAGGGTGGGTGAGTCCAAGTTACCCAAGTTACCCAACGTGTTGAGACATTTGGAATTATTTGGGTGTGTCCCATTGCCATTACAGTAACAGTTGGCAAAAGATTAATCGCTCGTTTTGAGAGAGACGGACCATTATCATCCACTCTGACTGGTGGACATACTGTTGACAGTAGTGACATACCCAACAAACTCAGATGAACTCAGATGTCTTACCTGCTCGTGAAATTCCGGAGTCCTTGCAGGTGGCCCCGAGCTCGCCAACGGACGCCCAGGCGAGGTTGTGAGCCTCTTCCGGGATCCAAGCGGATCATGGGGATCCTCGTCTTGGTCGGTTTTTCTTGTGACATGAAACGCCAAAGTCTTGGCTAAGTCACTCCAGTTGGCACCCTCCAGATGTTTGGTCGTTGGCACCCTCCAGTTGGCGCACCCTCCAGTTGACAGGGGTCCCGAACCAAACCCTTTCCATTCGAAGGTCCGGATTCCGAGGGGGAGACACGTCCGGAACTTGAGATCTTCAATTTAGACTTTGACACGATGTTTGTTCAGGAGTCAAGAATGTATTCAGGGCAGATGGGATAGGGGCAAAAGACGAACATCACCCATCGACTTTCCTGAACTTGCCACGGTTCTTCTCATCTTGATCAGGTCCGAACATGCCCGTGAGGCCCAACGAACTTTCACCGAAGCATGCGTAGAACTCCTTTTTGTACGAGGTTCCCAAACGACAAGCAAGATCCCAATGCTTGCTTCACACTGGCTTAAATGGATCTTCAGTCTTTCCAGGATCATTAAAGCAACACACGCTGGCAGAAGGCTGCCGTGGTCTCTACCAAGGTCTACCAGCATTGGAAGGGGTGTCCTGGCTGGAGATTCCAAGGTCTAGTGTAGCGTCGTTGGTCGCGAAACCCAGACAGGATCCTGGTACCATGAGCGGAATGCCGAGGATTGGACATGATGGTACATGAGTCTCGGCCGCCGAGAAAAGGTCGGTGACTCGAACCGGTTCGGGGGATTGTTTGATCGATGAGGGGACGAACACAACCCTCAGCCGGGTCAAGTCGAGCAGCGCGAGTAGAGACCGTTGAGACAGGCCCTCAAGCCGCCCAAGAAAAAGAAGAAGCTCAAAACAGGCTTGAGTTGGTGCCGGCTTTCCCGTGGGCCTCTGATAGAAGGAACCTGTGGCAGAAAGTACGAGAGAGTCTTCCTTTTCATACTGGAGATGTGTTTTTCATTCGGTCTTCGCAAGCTGTTGAAGGTCTCCATGTGTGTTTGCACTGGATTTGTGGAGCCTGTACGTAAAAGCAGATAGTAGCGGGCTTTGATGGACGGGGCGCTTTACATGGAGCGGACGAGTCGTTCCATGGCGGCAGAGAACCACTGCTGGGTCAATGGTCTTCTACGGGGTCGTCTGGTCGTCTGGTCGTCTGGTCTTGTCGGCTGGAAGCCACATGGCCTGAGATAAGATCTGCGTCTCAATACACTTTTTGGCACTTGGTGAATTGTCCCTGCGACATGCAGACAAAACATGCCCAAACCTCTTTTTTGTAGCGTGAACAGACATAAATTCCTTGAGGCTGGACATGGGATCTGGATTGCTGCGACTCGTGCGGCACTAAACCTTTGTTCATGTAACAGATGAATGTGAAATCGTTAACCTCAAATTCTTCATATACATTACATTTAACATCATTTAACCGTGAACATCCGTGAACCCCACGTTCTTCCTAGGGTCCTAGATTCCATATGGCTGATTTTAGATTAATATTTAAGTTTCCTGAAGGACAAATCACTTCACACTAAGTGGAGTAAGCGTGGCCATGATGGAACACCCGAACCACAAGACCAGGTTCTGTAGCGGTGCAGCGTGTGGCCGGGTGAGTCAACTCCACTTGGGAAGTGCAGAGAAGCACACTATGACCATCTATGACCCTATGCTCATAGATGTGTTACAGATGCACAACCCAGTGTATTAGCATGCATTCTAGTGACTAGTGGCTCAAAAGGGGGTGAAACGGATTGTCTGAGCAGAATAGAAATCCAACTCCATCTCTCGAAGTCTGGGCCAAAGAGCAGGCCCCATTTCATCAGCCCACGGGTGTCAGTCCTTGAGCCAGACCCGCTGTGGTGAGAGTCGCCCCGGGGTAGAACCATCGAGCCACTCCGATGGAGGCTCGCCCGATCGGACCCGACTCCGCCGTCGGACGCACCGTCGGAGCAGAGCGTCGTGGCTCGGCCAGGTGAGATCGAGGACCGTCGAAGCGACGACGTGGATCCCTTTGCCTCGTCCTCTCGTCGTCTTTCGCGCGCGACGCGCGACACGGCGGGCGGAGGGAAGCCACGACGACGCGTCGTGGGGGATGGACTCTCTGAGAGAAATACAGGTCCGTGATGGCCCATGGGTGCGAAGAGATGTCTGAGACAGGGAGATGTTTAACAGACATATCATAGATGTCTTTGAAGGAGAGCTTTTGAAAGCAACGTCACGCGGCGAAAAACACGTCTCAACACCACGCCCATCAACCTGGGGTTCCCATCGATTTGATCGCCATCACGATGTTCCGCAAGCCAAAGAGGGCAAAATGCATCAAGCTGCCATAAGCCCTAGGGATCCAAGTACCTTCTCAGAAGATACCTGGACCCTCCAAACCTAGATGACAGTGTCTCCAATCACCACTTGGATCCCTAGAGAAGGTCATTGTTCTTTGACCGTCTCCCACGCCCCACCTGGGGGTGGGGATGGGGGATGAGGAGCGCAGCACCTTGCGGCCGGTGCGCACGGAAGGGCCTCGGGCCTCAGAGTTTCGCAGCGTTGGAAGACCCGCGATGTTTCTTTTGCCAAGAATCATCCCAGCTGGTGTGTGTTCAAGTCAGGATCAAGTGGTGGGCCAGGGGTGTCAAGAGGCCTGTCTGAGTCCTTGCCGGTCTTGAAAGGGTGAGCTGGAAGTATCGAATCGGATTTTTGAACCTAGCAACAAGTGCACTGCTACTAGTAACAAGGGCATCTAGTGACAAGGGCATTATATACTACTAGTAACAAGAAGCTATTAGGTTCTTGTTTCTAATAGCAAACATTGTTACTACTAGTAAGGCACCTGTTACTACTAGCGTGGCACTAGCTGGTGCAGATTTCGGTCCATCGGTGCTGAGGAGAGGTTGGGGCCCGACTGTTGTCCTCCCAATGGCCATAGAGTACTTACCTTCAGTCGTTGCACTTTAGGATTTAGTTTTTCGAGTGATGTACAGTAAGTCATAGATTCAATTTGATTAAATGGCCGTGGGTAAGAGATATGCAGCCTCCAAAGCCCAATGGTAAAGAACAATCATTAGGAAAACAAATCCTTAGTGGAGTCTCGTGGACACCAACTAGCCTACTTTTGTTGATCCATCACTCTCCAAGATCGGGGTTTCACCACCGATCTGGTCCCTCCGCCCTGCCTCACCACCCCGTGTGACAACCCTCTGCAGCTCCGCGAACTGCGAACTGGGCAACAGGTTGGCCACGTTGACGGGAGAGGCCGAGCGCAACGAGTCGGGGGGTCGGGGCGTCGCTTCGTGACAGGCGTCGTTTCCGCCGGGCTTTCACCAGGCACTCGGCGAACAGTGCATGACATGCACCTTTCACCTCTCATGTTGGCCGCCGTGGAGAGATGTGGGGCAGATAGCGGTTCCATTCCACCTGCGGTTTGAGCGGCCAAACTGCCCAACCTCAACCACCTTCGGTCTCAGCGTGAGTGTGCGCACTCTTTGCCATTCAGCAAAGCATGGGAGGATATGGGAGGTCTCCCTATTTGAGCTACTCATCTGATCTCCACGACTCCCCGAAGAAGCTTCGCGCATGAACGTGGCAACCGTTTGCTTGCGGTGACCCTGCAGCCAAGCCGGCGGTCATAGCCGGCCGGCCTGAGCCTGATCAAGAAACCATTCCTGCAGCCTGGAGCCCTTTTGTATGTATCCTTTGTATCAGTGTTTGGTCTAAATAGCATTGGATGGAGATGATCCAGCTCAGTAAAGAAGGGACCTGAAGATTTGAAAGCGGAGTTTCTAGAAACGTATCATGAAATCGATTTGAAGACAATTTGTTTTCAATCTTCGCTTCCCCAAAGTGCCCAATGGGGAGATGTCTTAGTCGACAAAGGACAGTCAACTATGGTGAAGAGACGCCAAAATCAAAAAAAGTGACGTTTCAAGGGTTGCAAACATGTGTTTAAAATCCATGGACCGGAAAAGACGCCGTTTGGACGCCAAAAGATGCCGTTTCTTTTAGGTTTCTCACCTTGCCACCAGAACTTTTGCCGTTTTCTGCCTTGTCACAGCACGTCTTGTGAACAGGCAATTACTGTACGGTATTTGTTTTGAACGGTCCTGGTCTCGCGAAGATTTCGTGAGCATGCACTAAAGACACCAGCGATTCCTCATGGCCTGATCGTCCGATCCAGGCTTGGCCGCCGATGGTACCACGCGAGGAGAAGGGTGTCCAAGGGGCATACGTTAACAGACTTTTCTTGTAAGCTTTCCCTTCATCCTTGTTTGCTTTTCATTTTTACTGTGCTAAGGTCTGCGATGAAGTTGTGGAAGTCCGAGTGTTTCGCCAACTCCCCTGCGTATGTGGGTTGCTGTGTTAGAGCTGGGTCACTGGAGGAGGGGTGCAGAAACCACTGCCCTACACGCAAACTGATGACCGAGATTCGAGATGTCCTGCTTCACATCCTACGTAGAACATTGATGGGTTCAGGAAGAAGAGCTGCCTTGCTTGACGTTGGCACCCTATTTGAAAGTCATAGCCTGCTGATGGAAGCACCTGCAAAACAAGACGACCCCATTGTTATAAGAATATATAAGAATAATTAAGAATAGATGTATGTCACTGTATGTCTCAAAGAGTGTGGCTGTTTTATTTCGCTTTGGCGGGCTTAGGCGTCTTTGGCGTCAAGGGCCACGTAGTTGAAGGGGGCGCCAAACGTTCCAAGCACGGACGACTCAGACGAAGAAAGGTCCAATCACGACTGCTTTGGACGGAGATCCGGCCACCCCAACACATCCGGTCCGGTCAGCATTTTTCGGAGGCCAAGCAGTGGGCCATCCAGTTTCAAGTAACGGGCCACTAAAAAAGGAGCACCCAGCAGTCGACTGTTTCAGCACCCTGTGAAGCGAATCAACCTCTTCAGGAGATGGAAGGCCATGACATTCCCATCCCCAAGGCGAGTGCATGTCTTGCGACAGATGGGGATGATTACAGATTATTCCCTTGCTGAGATCATGGACATTCCCAGGCACTCCATGGGGCTGGCATATTTACCTACATTCGGGATGTTTTAGGGGTCAATGTAGGTATACTCCACACATGGAGTGTGTGTGTGATTGATATTCTTTGTGCTTTCTGGATTTGTTGTCTTTCCTGTTGGAAGCAACTGAATCTACTGGGCATGAGCAAAGATTGGGGGGATGCACTGGGCTCATGGCTTTGACACTGGAAGAAACTCGTGATGAAGGCAAGTGATATGGCTGTGGCTCGAAGACATGACAAATCACCGATCAAACATGGGCAGCGAACAGAACATCAGGAAAGGAGCTGCCACATTTTTCTAGTAAGCTTTCATTACAGGCTTTGGGATATTATTGGGATACATGCATCCAACAAAAGAACTGAAACCTTTGGGCAACCAGAGCCCTTTGCTGCCCAAAGATCAATGTTGTAAAGTTTTGGACAGGGGTAGGGAGGGTGGACGAAAAGCCAACGCCCTGCCGATCAAATCAGTGGAACTACATTAAGGGTGTGGGCAATGTGATGTTCAACGGTGAGGGAACATAGTGACTCTATTGAACACGGTGCAAGATCTTGATCTCCGGCTGAGTTATCCACGAGGCTGTACAATCCGTAGTCCAATTGCTGCTCCCTTCAACCCTCATACAAGCCAGAATGTCTCTTTGTTTTCCCGTCCCTTGCAGGGACCCCAACACAAAAGCCCACGCGTTTCCGGGGACGTGGCTTTTTAGCCGGCCGTTTCCGGGTTCCTGCGCCATGCGGAAATGCCTGGGAGCGGTCCTGGGCTTGGCCCTGCTCTTCGCTCCGCGGCTGTTCGTGCCTAGCTGGACGCCGCGCGGCGCGGCACAGACCAACCGCGCGCCGAAACGGCGCGCCGTGCCGGCCGGACGCGCGTCCGGGCGCTCGAAGGCAGTGCAAAGTGTGTTGCAGGAAGTGACCCGCGACTCGGTGAGGGACGGAGTGTGCTGCAGTTGAGGAGCTCTTTAGGGGAAAGTCGGGAAAAGGGGACAAGCGTGGCCATCCAAGCCCATGTGTGGGTGTCTTGATGGTGTCTTTGATTCTTTTATGAAAGCCAGCCGACAGGCTAGGCTGAAGTTACTTCTGCGAACGAAGTGAACAATTTAGGGAGAAGATGCAAGCTGAAGTTGTTGCGGCATCACTTGCATCACTGAAGTTGTATGGGGCACCAGTTCCACTGGGTATGTGACGCAAACACAGGGGGCCGATATGGGCCGATCCTGTGGAACAGTGATAGACGTCATCCACCTAAGCTCCAGCACAGTATCAAACAGCTTCCATACCCCGCTGTTGGGGCGTTTGTATGGGTCCACCCCCAAGAAAGAACACACATGCAAAGGAATGGAGAAACTAGAATTCTAATTTCTTCGATAGCCTTCCGTATTGTGAGTTTAGCGGATCCATTTGAGCATGACACCACATACCTTCGTGGGTTCTTAGAGACTTGACCTGCTTCCGTCGCCATCTCACGCCCAGGGAGGGCAGCTCGAGCCATATGAAAAGGTCCGAAGCTTTGTGACGATTCGCTCGTCGGTTCACTCGCCATCGGTCGGCGATTTCCTTGTGCGGTTGCTACCAATTTCATGGTAGCGGAGCCCCTGGTTAGGGGCTCCCGCCATGGCGTCTGGTCACGACATCCCTACCTGGTCTGGAGACCCTGTTGATTTCGAAGCATTCTACACCTCATGCCGTTGGTATGAAAAGGGACTCAAAGAGTCAGAGAGGAAGCTGGCAGCATCGCGTGTTTGGTCTAGGTTGACTGGCCCTGCAAAATCAGTTGTCCGCAACCTCAACCCCGATGACTTCGAGGATTCAGATGGTCTGACCCGCCTATTGGAGGTTCTTCGCAAGTCCCCATTGCAGGCCCTTCCGATCAGCGACAGTTTTCGGAGGTTGGATGCTTGGCATCAGCTGCGTCGATTGGCTGGAGAGTCGATTCCTCAGATGCTTGTGCGGGAGGAAGATCTTTTCACCCAGTTGCAGGCGGCTTTGACACGTGCTAGGGAGGACAAGGGTATAGTGACCCCGTTGATCACAGAAATGCCCACTCGTGGCCCTCCATCGACACCTTCTCAAAGCCCCATGGCTGGTTTGCGATTCACCCAACCGGATTCGGAGACGCAACCGGATACGGCAGCCATTCCAAAGGCTGCATATTCACCAGATTTCTTTGAAGACGAGTTGCGCGGTTACAGATTGTTGAAGGCTGCAAAGTTGACAAGTTCTGAGAAACAAAACATATTAACTCAAACAAGCAACAGTACAAGCTTTTTGCAAGTACGAAGGGCTCTCAGAACATTGTTTGCAGAGGAGGACGAATCAGGTCACTCCTGGGGTCGACGACCTCGCATTTGGTGGACAGATGATCAACAGAGTTGGGATACAGTGGATGACGCTTGGCAATGTTGGGATGCCTACGATCCAGGGCATGCAGCATGGTATGCAGAAGAGGACGAAGAGTCCTATTGGGCTGAGTGGACTGGAGATGATTGGGACGAGGCCGAATGGCCCGATCTTGACGAGGCCGCCGAAGATGGTGACCAAGATCCAGCAGAAGCTCAGCTTCGCGAGGCCTACGCCTTAGCCGGCGAAGCCAACAAAACACTTGCAGAAGCAAGAGATGCAGTTCGCCGAGTTCGCCAAGCCCGTGGTTATTTCTCGCCAGAGTCGATGACTGGCAAGGGGTCCTCCGTTTCCTCCAAGTCCGGCTCCCCCAAGGGCTCGAAGAGCATCGGAGCTGGAAAGGGAAAGTCAGGTTTTGGACCATGCTTCATCTGCGGCATGAACGGCCACAGCTATCGGGATTGTCCTGACCGCTTCGCTGGCGGCCGCAGTGGAAAGGGCTTTGGGGCGAAGGGCAAAGGTGGTGGCAAGTTCAAAGGGAAATCCAAGGGGAAGTTTTCTGGTTCAGGAAAGGGCAAGTCCGTTCAGTTCCACTCCATCACCATTGACCCCACCATCTATCTGAACACCACCACTGGAACACGGGTTATAGTAGACACTGGGGCATCGGAGAATGCCGTCGGAGCTTCAGCATTGGCCACCCTTCTGGAACAGTCTCAACTCCCCCATGAAGTTAGTTTGACTGACCGCCCAGTTTTCAAGTTCGGCAATGGTCAACAGGCACAGGCCACCAGCAGAGTTGATTTGAGTGGGACATCAATCGGCCGTGTGAGCTTCTACGTTCTCGGTGGTGAAGCGAGCGCCACTCCACCGCTTCTCGGAGGCAAGACCCTTCGACAGCTGGGAGCCGTGCTCGCGTACGAGAACAACATGTTCATCTACTACAGCCAGGATCCCCAGCCTTCGTGGTTTGCAGTGAAGCTTTGTGCACATCATACAAACCATGTTTCATTGGACCTCACCGAGAAGACCATGTCAGTTGACAGTGTTTGCAATTGGTTTTCACAAACAGTTGATGCAACAGTTGTTGATGAGACACCAAGCAAGCCTGCAGCAGTGTTTATGTTGTCTTCTATGCCATCATCCCGGCAGAGTTCTTTGGCTCAAAGATTGGCATCGCTCCGTGCTCGACTCCGACATGAGCAACAGCCGGCTTCTCCCATGCGCGGAAGACGATCCGCGGACGACGGGATGGCCGTGCCAGGGACATCACAAGCCTGGCAAGGTTCGACAGAACCAACGTGCGATGTGGAGCGCATGCGCAGTGTGTGGCCTTCGCACCAACTACCAGCCGAAGAAGGACAGCAAGGGCGAAACTCGCCACATGGGGCCACACCCACGGTTGGTTGCTCTGGCCATGGAGCAGATCCGGGCATCCACGTCGACTTCGGCATGCACGGAGCACCTGGTCAATGGAAAGATCATGGAGCTGAAGGGTCTGGAGCTGCAGCGAGGCTTGACCCAGACTCAGGCCATCAACATGACCATCAAGGAGTACAGGAAGCGCATGGGCTATCCACCGGAGTGCGAGGAGCGCCCGAAGAGTCCTGCAAGCCGCTCGGCAAGTGCCACTCGCGAGCCGACAAGTCCGAAGAAGAAGGATCCAGTGGCACAGACAGAACTCCTGATGGTGGCAGCGTCGGAATACTTGCTGGAGCAGACCGGCATGGACTCCTTGGATCCAGCAGAGTTCAAGAAGAAGGTCCTCGAGCACATTCAGGGCCGGAAGATCAAGGAGGAGGAGAGGCCGAAGGACCATCACCTGTTCGGTCCGGAAGCTGTGGACATCTTCTCATCAGAGGAGGAGAAGGAGCCGGTGAAGAACAAGAAGAAGGAAAGTTCAGCTCCCTCTGGGCATCAGTGAAAGCCCTGCAGCAGCGCATCCGGCACTCCAAGCCGGAGCCCACGACAACATGCACTACGAGCACTACGATTGAGGATGGCATTGCAGCCAACCCCACGTCACGACACGGTCTTCCTGAGACCCTTGGCAGCGCCTCTCCATTTCAAGGCGGCAGCCAACAATCTTCTACTTTGGAGCTCCCTGCTCCTGGACCTGGAGGAGGAAAGAGAGCTGGGATTCCACCATCCACAGCTCGCAAGATGTCGGCCAATGCGGCCATGATCGGAGCAGTGATGATGCTTTCAGTTCGAGGTCTGATGGCACAGCTGACAACATCCACGGACTTCATGGAGATTGCATGTGCTCCAACCTCATCCCTGTCCGCTAGCATGGAAGGCATGGGCTACAACGTGAAGCGCATCAACTTCAAGGAAGGCTATGACCTGCAGACCAAGGCAGGCACAAGACACTTGGCCGATGACATCAAGGCCGAACCACCAAAGCATGCATGGGTGAGCCTGCCATGCACAAGACTCACTGGTTTGGTGAACCTCACTCAACGAGATGAGTGGGAAGAAGCAAATTTCCAGAAGCGGCAGCAAAGAGATCTTCGTCGAGCAGATGAGGTGGTTTCAGCTGCCGAGCCCATCCTGGAGACTGGAGGAGACTTG